TTATGTATTAGAAATTCTCTATTATTTTGTCTTCATTGTTCTAAAGGAGGTTGCTCCTATTGTGTTCATTCCATGACAGGTTGGAACTGACTGATAACATGATCTCTCAAGAAGCAGCAAGAGCAGGTTTCTTTTGAGGGTGACGGTAGAGCTAGCAAGACAGGGCCTTCACTGGTAAGGATATGGCTCCATGGTATCTGAAGAAGAGCAGAGCAGGTCTGGTCATGGTGGCCTCGCACAGGGAACCAGGCCACTAGGGCAGTCAGAGAAGCAGTTGTGATGCCTGTGGGTACACTCAGTCTCTGCTTCCAGCCTAAATAAAGAGCCCAGGAAGAGCACCTCCCAGCTCAGAGGAGGCTCTCAAACTGCTTCAAGTGAATTATATTTGCCTTTATGTGCTACTGTGGAACATCTTTTCCTTTCCAGTCTCCAGGCACTACATAAACAACTAGAATGAGCAGGCAAATAACTACAGGCTGGCCTATTAAGAACTTCAAGATTTACTCTCCTACAGACTTAATCAGCATCCAAAGCATCTGTACAGCACAGTGTAGTCTGTACAAATTACCAGCACATCATTGACTAAGGTGTAAAATACTGCCAGTGACCTGAACTTGGGCAAATTGTTTCCTTAGTCACATATATCCTACCTCTTCCACCTACAAAATGAGACAGGCAAAAAGGTTTAGAACCTGAACTCTTGTGTATTTGTAAATAGCTTTGAACACCATGGGTGAAAGACTCTACTGAAAGGAACACTCACTGGAAGCCAGCACTTGAGAAGATATGAAGTGGAAAGTTCTGGAACCTGGGCAAGTGACAAGAAGGAGCAAGGAATGAGAGAAGACCTACAACTGTGCCAGTTCCCTCAAGATGGTGATGAGCATCTAAAAAAGGGACAAAAAAAAAAAAAAAAAAGAATAGAAAGGAAGTGGTCGGCTGCCAAAATGGTCAGGCCTGATTACATCAAACAAATGTAATTGTTTACAGTGATTTATGGGCCAATCTCTCACCAAAAGGTGCAATTTATCAGTGAGTAGCCAATACAATTAGTGCTGCTCCATGTATCACTCATGGTGCTGGCTCCCTAGCAGGTTTTGCTCACAGTTTGTTATTACAATAAGTGTAAGGTTTGCCTGACCCTGCTTTCACCTGGCACAGGAATTGCTGCTCAGGGCTGAAAACCACAGGATGTTTCTGCAGCCTAAGCATGGATCTGCATAATTGATAGGTTTGAGCCAAAGAGGCTGTATAGAGAGACATAAGCTGAGAACAGGACTCAAAACTATGAGCAGGACAAGTGATACATCCAAAAATGGAAAACTAGCATTTGCTAGGGAACAGTTGTACTAAGAAGGAACTTGATCTACTGAAAACTAATCCAAGCTCACTTTTTGGGTTGCCCTCTCTTAACAAAATGGGGCTTGAAAAATGGGTAGTTTAATGTTTTTGAACTGAAAGAAATGGGTATGTGTATGTACGATTTAACAAATTAATGAAGAATTAATCCTCTATGATGCATAAATAGTGAGTCTTAAAATGCTTAAGATACTATAAAAACAGTAGCACAAGTAGCAAGGGATCTATATAGAATTCAGTCTGATGTTTTAAAGCATAAGGGAATCACTGCAGCAGCAGTGAAAAAGTTGGTTCTCCTCCATTCTTGCTATTACATATGCCCAAAGAATTGGCTGTAATTTAAAAGTCTATAACACCTGGTTTACATTCCCTGAGTTAGAGATGAGCTGCTTTCACAGCTTACAGGCGAGTGGTTAGAAATTCACCATTCGTTATGGTTCCCGAAGAGATATTCTCAGTCACATGCCTTTTGTGGAAGAGGTTCGCTGTCTTTCTAGGATACTCTGAAACCAAAATAATGCCATTATAAAATCAAGACCTAAATCTGTATACAGTGATGGTTTGGATAACAGTTTTTCTTTACCGAGATAAACACCAGACCTAACAAAGAGCAGAGCTCTTTCCTTACACTTTCTTTCAGCCTTCTTTAGTGTCTAAATCTGCCAGTCTGGAATAGGTTCCTTTGTCAGAGAAATATAGCCAAAGAGATGATTCAACTTTGTGCTGCATGTGAAGTAGCTCAGAGCTGCAGTAATGATGAAGGAATCAATACAAGGGCATGGATAACAGGGTAAGTGGGAAGTCTTTCACACTTGGCAGGTTTCTCTGGGAAGTGTGCTGCTGCTGCTGAGGAAATGATTGGTCTTACAATGGTGTTCACTGCAAGCATGAAAAACTGTGATGAATTTATCCTGCTTATTCTTACACTTCTGTGAAAAACTACGTTCATTGTTCTGGTAAATTTTAAAAGGTTTAATTAAAAAAAGACAATAGGAAACAGACAATAAAGCAAAGGGTTAAAACAGCTGGGTGCTTGGCACTCTGCAATGAGCACACCTGGTGTTTTGGAAACACCCTTTATATACCATTTCTAGTGCATAAACTTGATGCATATTCATAGACTTTATGCATATTCGAACTTTTCTATTAACTAGTTTACATTTTCTAGGAACTATTTTGCATGGTCACTCCTTTTAGAGCATGCACATTTCTTGGCTTGTGGTTTTAATTCTTAGCATCTTTTAATTTGGGGTTTGGCTCCTTCTTTCCACAGGTGTTGAGTGTTAATAATCAGCAGGGTCCCCATCATCTGTTCATTGAATGTTATCCTAACTAAGCAAACAGTTCAAACATACATATATCGACTATTACAGCAAAGCCATTTTAACATTATATGTATAGCATTCATCTCAATATTTGCAAAAAGCCAATATTATAATATGTATTTATAACACTTCCATACAGCTTCATATCTCCATATGATCTGTAGAGCAGATCAAAAGGCCACCAAGTGCACAATGGACTGTTAGCATAATCAAGTGCTTGAGAGCTGTTCTCATTGCACATGAGTGGAAGGAGCAATTTGGAAGTCAGCAGGATGAGAGTTTTGTCTTCCATGTAAACTAGCAGGTAACATCGACTTTATTTAGAAATAAGAGCATTGACAGGAAACAGAGACAGTGCTTATCTGAAAGCCTGTCCTACAGGACTTGTTGCAGATATCTTTTCTGCCTAGTGAGGGAGGGGGAAAATGTCCATTTTTATTGCAAATGCCTCCCAGTCACTGACTTTTTCCTAGATCAAATGAGTGAGGTCCTCCTCTGGAGGTATGGAAGCAACATTTTTTTCCTGTTAATTTTTGTAAAGCAGAATGGAGAACTGTAGGTTCCTTTTTTAACTTGTATATTTCCAGGTTTGAAAAGATTTTGAGGAGTATCTTATGGCTTTAAACCAGGAGTTGAGGCAAATGGGAGCAAATCTGTTCTGAGGCTATAATGGTAAGAAAGGAAGGGAAGCTGGTAGGAAGGCAATATAGACATAACTGCCCATAACTTTTTAGTGTTGAAGTATTGTTTGTGTTTGATTTTCGTTTCCATGCATGTCAATTCACATCTGTTTCCTAGTTTTAATTCTGCTCCTGGGACAATGGGACATTTCCAGCATTTCAACCCTTCTGTAAGGTTGATTTTCAGTGACTCAACAACTGCCCCCTCCAGCTCAGAACAACTTAAGGGAAGCAGAGAGATTTGGCATTTCAAAGTAAAGCTATGCTGTTTGTTCCTGAGGATTCAAGTCATGCTAATCTTTGAATGACTAAGGTAAGGTGCTTCCAAGCCTTAGTCCACTCTCCATGCTTGTGCAAAATTCACTGTTGTCCAGTTGGATGCTGTCGTGGTTTTAAACCACTAACTATGAAAATTACTTACTTCTTGCTGTGAGATATGGATTAGAATAAGAGCAAAACAGGCATACAACTTAAAAGGGAAAAAAAAGAAATTTTATTGACAAACTACAATAATAAGAACACCAGAATAAACTTCCAGAAAAACCTTTCCATCTCTTATCTACCCACTATTCACTTGTTCACATGACAACAGAGACAAAAACTCTGGAACTCTGATGGTTAAAACAGTCCCAATTCTTGCTAGTCTTTTTACTAATCTTTATAGAGAAACAGAAGTTTCTTCCTGTTAATTTATGGAGTTTCTCACAAGAAAACTATTTTTGTTATAGTTTTCTATTGCCCTAATGTTAGCTGTCCAGAGCTGCTATTAGAGTTCACTCCTCCCATTTTCACATCACTCTGAAGTATGTATGGGCCATGCGTCTAGAGATAGCATTTTTAAGGATAAGTTATTCAAAGGCAAAAAAAGTCTTCTTCATCTGTTTCTGTGAGCTTCACCAGAAAACAGTTTTCTCATGGCCTCTCAGGGCTTCAAATCTCTCAACAGTTTTTTCATGGCCTCTCAAGGCTTTTAATCTCCCAGTACTTCACTATACTATAATTACTCTTTACTCAAATTTACACTTTGAACACTATTCCTCTCTAGATCTTATATCATGAATTAAAGGAGTTCTTTTCAAGACTTCATTGTCCATCTCCATAGTTTTAACAGGGAGATATTTCAGCTTAATTAAAGCATCTTCTTAATTCTCTACCTTTCTTGAAGCTTCTTTTCTTTCCTGTCACTGGTAGTTTATAAAGTCTCTTTTCATGTTGATCTCTCTCTCTCTCTCTCTCTGGATAAAAAGATTAATCCGCAAGTCTCATCTGGGTAATGAAAGAGTTAACATCTTGCCCAGGCTTTTGTAGATGGTTCGGAGATCTCTGCCGAACAGGAGCTGGAGCCGTCTGCGATGGGAAGTTCCTCATGGCTGCTCTGGAGCGTGTAGTCTCTGCTCCAACCCGCTGCAAGTCCAGGGCCTCTCTCTTTCTTCACTGGGCAGTTTCTAGTGAATTAGTTACAGCAAAACCTGCAGCCGAGCCAGAGATTGGCTCGGCCCGGGCTCGAGGGAAACCTTCCCCAGGCCCCCCCATCTCCCGGCCGGGAGACGGGGCAGGCCCGGCCCCATCCCCGCCCGGCCGCATGGCCTGGGCAGGGACGGGAGGCCTGGAGCTCCGCCACCCTCCACAGCCAGGAAACAAAGAGAGCCCAGAGAGCTCTGCTTTTACATTTTAAGGTAGGGTTCACAAGTTGATCCCACTTTTCAATGGCCTAAACTGCTGTCAATTCCCAGCAATGACCGATAATTGGTCAGGAGAAAAGACTCCAAGCACTTCCCAGCAACTCCAACTCCCTTAAAGGTAAAGTAACTCCATGACAGATGCCCAGAAGTCACCTTGGGTAGAATTTAGCCTTCTGATTTCTGAGACCTACAAGTGCAGATATCTGCAAATATTTTCACAAATAAGTCCATAACAATAAAGTGATTAATTATAAAGTGATGAATTAAGGAATAATTCAACATTTTTTGTAGCGAAAGAAATAGACAATAAAATACCCAACCATAAATTTTGCTACAAACAAAAGAATGAACTGACCACGTCCTTCAAAATAAATTTGCAGAACATTGTGTTGTGAGATGTTGTAGGGATCAAAGAAAGGCTCACTCAAAAGCAGTGAAGCACATTTATTCAATTAGGTCATTCAAGGTCTATTAACCCACATGGTCTAGATACAGCCTTCAACTCAGCAAGTCTTAAAAGTTCACTGGCACCTAGCTGGGTGTTTTCCAGGAAGTGAGCCATGCCAACACTACTCTGATCTGCATTGGCAGCTAGAGATCGGATGGGGACTTAAAAAAGGTCTCAATATGACCCAGCACAGTTGTGCTTGCACACTGTCGTTCCTAGATTCAATACTAAATATCCTTACCCTCACCAGCTCTGAAAATGCCAAATATACTATTCCAGTTTCCTCTTTCTGCTGCTAGACAGCTGCTGCTTTCTTTCTCCATAATGAGTTTTAGTGTGGTTTGGCCATATTTTGGGCTGGTGTAAGGGCTTCTGGTCCTAAGAGTAACAGGAATTATTCACTGTTTGCTCCAAAGCATTTGCAAGCTGGGTTGTGTTGTTTATCCTCCACTGTATTAGGAAAAGATATCTTTTGACAGCTGGTAATTCAAATACAAATCACTGAAAAGAATCCATGCTCTCAAGGAAAAAACCCAAACAATTAAACATGCAGTCCTATAATATTCAGTAGAAGATCGCCTATCTTTCCTACTAAAGAGCAAGGGAAAAGTCATCATTTATACTGAGAAGTGTGCTGTGGTGTGATGGGTAAAACTACACCAAGAGAAAATTTATTCTTTCTTTTTATTTAGGTAATACTGATTTCTAGATTACGGATCTACTTTGTGGACATGGCATGTATGCACTATTTTCAGCTCATACCAGCACTATTGATCTCTGGACTGTCACCTCCACACACTTGGAAGATCACATTGTGCAGAGATGACAAATAGTCCCATCTCAGAAAAAGTTAAAATTGCCTTTTTCTTATTTGATTACTTCTTTCTTGCACTGAGACACACTGTGGCACAGAATTAATGAGCAATAAAGTGTGAAATTAATTTCTGATTTTCAAACAAAGGGAAGATGGGACCATGTAAGAACAAAACATTTTCACAGTTAAGAAGACATTTCAGAATACCTCACATTGTCCTTCAGAATACCTCATGCTGTCCTACTCTGTCAGTGCCATTGCACCTTATAGGACCACCAGCTTCTCCCATTAAACAGCTCAGACTACATGATCTGACTTTGGTCACAGTCAGGTATCACTCCAGCTCCAACTTCAAAAACATTACCCAGAGATGAGAGTACTCTACCACTGACTGTAACAACAATGAAATGTAGATGTGGTCTAGATTAAACCATCCTCAGATGTGTGTGGCAGGAAAGATCTCAGCAGTGCTGCACATCTGATTTTGAAAAGGAATAAGGTTTATACCATTTGGGGTAGAGGAAAGCACAGTCCACAGTCATGATTTGGGTAGTTTCTGTAACAGTTTCTACCCTATTTCTTAGTCAAAGATGTTGAGCACTCTTGACTTCAGACAACAAACCCATCCTTGTTTATAACTGAGAGGCCAACTTTGGTGTGCTAGGAATCTTTTATGCAACTCAGGCTGTGAGGCATGCTTCCAACACTTCTAATTTCTGTTCTGTTTGTCTTACCCAAACGTTTTTATTTAAGAGCAAAGAAATTAAGTCAGGAACCTGTAATGACCATCCCTGGATTTCTTAGTTTCTCTGTGAAAATGCTGTGAGCCCATTTCCATCTGGATCCAGATGAAGTGGCTAGAGAGAGAGAAAATAAGCTCACTGCAGCTGTGTTGACTCAAATTCCTTGGCCTCCAGGAAATCAACTACACTGTCTTTCAGAAAACGTTTTCTGGCAGCTTCCCTGATCATCCCCATCCACTGAGGAATTATGCACCAGAGCAGTCATTCCCACATTTCACCAGTAAGGTCATTGATGCAGCTACTGCTGCTGATTTGATATTGTCCAGATTTTACTTTTCCCTTCCTTGTGGAGCTGGTGCATCTGTGCACACAAACTGAGATCCCATAAAACTAGGGAACCTTTATTTTTGTTGACCATTGCCACGCAGCCTGCTCAAGAGCATCAGCATGTCTGCCCACTGTCTGCACACATTGTACTTTTCCCTCTGAAATTCCTGAAATTCTAGGCTAAGAGAGAGCTGCATAGTTGCCTTGTGACAGCATAGCAGCAACAGAGAATTCCAGCTGACTTCTTAGTAGCAAAATAAAAAGAAAAATAATAAAATAAAAAGAATAAAAAAAATAATAAAAAAAAGGCCTTAGAAAAAAAATGGATGGAGCATCACAGTGCACCTTCAGTGTGACAGAATATTATTGATATTGTTTTCGCACTGAAAATGAGATGGAAACTGAAAAATTAATTCATGCTTATTTACCACAAGTAATGGAAGAGTTAAGCAGAGATGCCTGATTTTCTAATTCTGGCTTTTGCACCTGTCATCCCTTCCCTCCCTTTCCTGTTCTAGTCAGAATTTTCCCTCCCTACTCTCTGTGATAGGTCCCAAAGAATTCTGGACACTGAGGGGTGAATCTCAGAATTTACAGTGTGCACAGGCCCATTCTAAGCACTTTTCTAGAAGCCAGAAGAAAAAAGCCTGAACAATTTTTTCTTTATACAACAAGCCTAAGAAAAAACATACTATCAGAACATCACATCCTTCTTTCTTGTTATGGCAAACACACTTCTCATGACAAGAATCTCACACAAATTTTAAATCCAGCCAGACAACTTCTATGTGATCAGAGACAGGTGGACATCATACATATATAGTGTGCAATGAACATAGTTAATCTCTCCTTTTTTGAGCAAGTGAAAAAGCTATTAAGAAACACAGCACGAGTTTCCATCTGAAAAGCTATTTCTTGCATACATAAAGCAGAACAACATCTCCCTTTAGGGTTTTACTGGAAAAGGGCCACTAATTTCTCATAATTAAATACAATTGCCTCAGTTTTAAGAACACTATCACTAAAGAGCCATGTTCCTCCTGCAAAGCTCATAAATTATTTAAAATGCAGCAAACACACTGCATTTTAAAAAATATGTGACATTACTATCACTGTTATTGGAGAACTTCCTTCTTTTGTTTTGACCTTTATCAGAAATGAATTTTTGTAGGTTTCTTCTGAGATGTCCTTCTTATAAAATGTGTTTTGTGAAAAGTAGCCATGATAGTAAGCATTTTCTTTGAAAATATTATCACCAAGGTTTTTAAAGACCTGATTTGCTTTCATTCATTCAGTTTCATCACTAAACCAGTGCCTCTCGCTGTTTATACTGCACTGATGCAGTATTCCACACAGACCTGGCTTTGTTTTAATGCCATGTAATGCAAATTTCCTCTGAAGTTATTTCACAGTGGAAGTTAACATCTCATATAAATACAACATTAACTAGCCATATACATTTTTAATATCAATAGAATCTTGTGGTTTAACAGTTGATCAGACTTACCCTTCTACAGCTAAATTTATTAATGGTTCCTATGTCAGTCCTATCCCTACCTCTGAAGAATTTCTTCACTGTTTTTTATTTTTTTAAGCAGGGACTTCACTGAATCCATCAATACATACAACTAGGTGAGTTAAGTTTTAGCTATATCACATATCTGAATATGTGGATTTCTAGCACTGTACAGGTTTCCACACTTTCTGAAGCTTGTATAAAAAAAATAAGTCCACACAGTTACAAGCTTTTGCTCAGAAAGCAAGATATAATTGGGATGTGTCATGTTGATGTGGAGAAGTCTATGAAGAATATCAGGGATATTCAGTGACTCTCTTCGATTTATGAAAAATATCCTTTCAAAGTCTCTTTTTCTTTTGTGATACTCATGTTGCCCTTGTACTTAACTGTAATTTTCAGTCTTATATGTTTGCAGTTTGTACACAGAGTGATACAGCATTGAATTGAACTCCAAACAATTTCAAGTTTACCCAGCTACAAAAACTGTATAACCCAAGAGGCCACTGCATTTACCAAAAGAGTGTATTTCCTAAGAACAAGCCAGTTCTACTGCAGAAATTTTATCCCTTAATGTTTTAGCATCAGCTGCTTGCAATATAATGGAAGGCAGATGTCTTGATACCAAGAAAACATTTCCTTCTCAAATTAAGTGGTAAAACATTTGGAGTGCACTTCAAAGGATTTGAGGTAAAGATTTTAAAAGAGCTGTGTGTAGAAAAAAGAAAATATCTTCGGATTTTTGAGATGGGGAAAGATAAAATAATTGTTCCAAAGCCCAAAACACTGCTTTACAATATATTTTTTTTTTTTCAGATTATGAAGTTTCATTTGCCACATTTTATTTTCAAAATGCATCATTAATTCAAGCAGCTGAAATTGTTTTATTCAGAACCGTTTTTAGTGCAGGCACCTCATCCTCTTCTTCTCCATCTAAAGCAGACACAGAACAAACCAACTCAGAATGTCAGTTTGTTGATTATACTGATCGTATCTTAGGACTGATAGAAAGTCCATAATATTTTTAGGTTTTTATGGCTTTTGATTTTTAATTCTGGCTCTCTGTCACTTCCCAGACTAAGAACTTTATTCTGAGCAGAGTACAGGAGTATAAGATTTTCCCAGACTAGTTGAATCTAGACTGAAATTAATTCTGGGCTCTATTTAGTCAGTTTGCATGCCTGGCTTTCAGGAAACTTAATAAAGCTCTGCACATAAAGAGCAAGAGAAGCAAAAATTAACACAATTCAGCTAAACAAAGAACACAGAAAGAAAGGTACATTACTTACAAGCAGGTCTCCTTTCTGTGCATTGAAACACTTACGTTTAATCAACCTCAGTCAATGGCCCTCTTACACCTCTCTAGGTGGCCCCACTTACTTCTGTGTGCATTATTTTCTGCTCTGTTATTATGAGAGTCTGTGTGCCATGTCTCTGCCCTGACACCAGGCATCTGAGTTTTGAGAAGAGAGACTTAAATTGCAGCATTAATTAAGTTATTAAATTAAAACTTAAGTTATTAAATTACAGCAGTATTCAACTGTTCATATCTGTTCAATATCTGCAATGCAGATGGCTGCACTGAAGATAGTTTCCCTACAGTCTCCTCAGTCACTGGACACAAGTGACAGTGAAGATTAATTACAACATCCAACTCAGGTATAGATGTGTATGTTGCAAATGTTAGCATTTTTCCAGATTAATACTATCCCCAGAGTCTGACTGAAAAATCTGGTTTTGATTCTGTTCTTGTTAAGCATCATTTCCATGTCTATTTCCCCCTTGCCATCAATGGAAGCAACTTTATTTTCCTGTTCTCTTTTCCTTAATCCCACCTTTTGTGGACACACATAACCATTATATTATGTAGGACCTGGGCACACCCTGGGACAGAGGTCAATGACACATTTTCATTAGCAGCCTTTTTAGAGACAAAAGGCCCTCACATCTTCCTGGCAGGACACTAAAGTACAAAGCCACTGAAGGTTTTGCCACTTATGCCACACATGAGTTCTGTCCTGAGCTGAAGCTAAAATCCAACAAATTTTCCTTTGGCCTTGTTGGATGGATCATATACAGAAGCTGAGATGCAAAAATCCAGACGAAATATTTCATTGAAATTTAACATTTTACTTTTTCAAGTGTAATTGTTTTAAAAAATAGCTAATAATAGCAAAAAAGCTAATAGCAAAAATCCCATTATTTACTTTACAAGTCTCTGATTGTCCCAAAAAAGCATGTGTGCTACAAGGACTGCTGTCTGTCCAACACTAGAGATGATGGGATGGAGATTATCAAAGCTATCTACAAGACACTTAGACCTTCAAAAATTCCATTTAAATTATTTCAATAGGGCATTTGTTTCACTGCACGATTAATTTTTGTTAATAATATTAACACCCCTCCAAGGCCTCCACTGAGCTCCTTCAGGACAGGTGAAATATTAAAATTATAGGACTAACCTATATAATTATTACTCCAGGGATAAATGGGAAAAACTTGGGACTGCATAGGAATAAAAACATTAATAATATGAATTACTGTCTCAGAGGAAAAAAAAATATCTAAGTTTCCAAGATCATACACCACCTGCTTGAATTCCCCTGCTGGGATGAGCACAGTCCCAAAGTCTGCTGCTTCTACTGCCCTTTCTGATTTGCTTTGCCATATGCAAACACTCCCTCCCACATGAAAAGGAGATGGAGATTTTTCTTCATTTCTCCCTTTTTTTTATTATTTTTTTTAGTCATAGTTACAGACCAAAGCTATTATCTTGCTTTTGGAAAAAAAATAAAAACCTTCATTCCTCTCTGTTTATCCATATAGGCATATATATGTATGCATATATATAAATATATGAATAAAAGTTTTATTCAGTTTATCTGAGAATTTTTTTTACGGTATTACTAAAAGAAGAAAAAATATATTAGGAAAAAAATATAAAATTTTGTTTTCACTGTATAAAATTGTTACATATTAGTATTATCCAAGACTGCAATTCATGTTTGTGCAGTGGATCCAATTACACATTGTGCGTGCCTCATTCCTACAGGTCAACCCAAATGTCTCTACCATGAAGCTGAATTTTTAATCTTCTCCCAAAGGGCATTTCTGTAACTCTGAGTCCTTTATTATGTATGACAACTGAGTGACCAAGAGATGTATGTGTTCAAGTAAGGACTGCCTCCCCTTCTCAATCTTATCTCTCAGGTTACAAGTTTTACAGCAGGTTTTGGCAATAAATGAACTGAGACTTCAACAACAGAGCTGAAGTATAAGGATGTGGTAGATTGATCTGAGAAATCCAAACGATCTGCTGATCTTGGAAGTGAAAAAGTTTTGTAACCCAAGTGCATCATTTGTATTCTTTATGCATTAACACTGATATATAAAAAAAACATGAAAGAAGAATCTCTTGGATGCAGAATACCCAGCTGAGTTCAGGCACATTGCATATAGATTAATAATTTGTATGTAATTTGGAAAGTCCATCTGAAGACTTCACAAACCCCTGGGTTAAAGACATTCTCCACTCCTAATAATAAAAGCTTTTTTATAAACCACAAGAATTTTGGTACTTTTGCTTGTCATGGGAACCCAGATTTCACATTCAGAAGAAAAGGCACCTGTTCACCCTTGTCAGGGTGGCCCCAGATGCTGCTCCAGTCTGTGGTCCAGGGGTGACACCCATCCAGATGAATTAATGGGTGCTCTCCTATCTCTCCGGATCACTCTACAGATGCTGGGAGACACTGCTCAGAAATATGGGACACATTATGGGATGCAGGGGTAAAGCATTTCAAGACTCCACAAGATTCATTATGGGATGCTATAGGTGAGGAAAGGCATGGATCTAGGTGACTTGGGAACACACATGGGAAAACAGAGAAAAAAGTGAATAACAGGGGCTGATTGTTGATATACAGATTGCTGTTCAGTGCACTTTTATGACTGTGCACAGTGCTCAGCAGAGTCTGCTTTACGTTACTGAATTCCCTTTCTAAGGATTTTTCTATTATATGTGCATATGTAGAGGTCTAAGTGCCAACAGCTGAAGTGGGGTCCAGGCTGAGACGCCAATGTGTTGGTGATGGAAGCAACTGGAAGAAGTAAACATGTGTAAGGAAATACAAATGCATGAACGAGTATGTGAGCTTTAGTAAACATTCAGCCAGGCTTACTGGTGAAATGGCCTGGGTATCAGATGTGCTTGTGTTTCTGAGGGGGAAGCCATGCAAGGAGCTGGCTACCAGAGGGGCCAGGGGAGTCCCAGTCAGCCATCGGTGACCTCTCAGTATGTATGTATGTATGTATTTGTGTATGTGTGCTTCTGTGAGCAATGGCGCTTTGCCAGCAGCTGCACAGGGGCTCTGGACCTCCGGGGCTCCTATGTCCAGGTGCTTGGATCCAGACAGGCTGGGATCCAAGGGGCAGGTGCTGCCTAAGGCCAGCTGCTGGACAGACACACGTATGGTACAAATATTCACATGTATACATACATATACCTCCTACTCATGGACCTTCCTCCTGATCAGCCAGACAGAGGAAAAGATGAGACTTCTGAGGTTCTTTATACTTGTGTCAGCGCTGATGAGCCTGTCTGTGCTGATGTGTGTGTGCCCAGTTGTTTATATATGTGTTCTATATGTGTTTCTGTGTGTGTGCCTACTGGGAATCCATTCAGAGCTGGGGAGTGTGGAGCTGTGACAGCCTCACCTCTATCAGGTCACTGTATTTCACATGTAAAAACACAGAGACAATAATTTACATTTATTTTACTTTAGAAATGGGACTTGAATTAAAAAACCTTCATTTCTCTCTGAGTTTCTCTTGAATCATTACCACTCCTGCTGAAGGTTTTGTCAGCCCAGCTTCTGGAGTGAAGAGTCTGCCGCACTCAATAATAATAATATCAACATATTATTAGTGCTTACATTGCAATCTCTGTCTGAAAAGCTCTTTGAAAACATCTGCTAATTAATTCAATTAATACAATTAGTCTGTAAAAACACTACACACTCCTCAAGTCATCCACTTGTAAAGCATTTCCCTTCTAACATTTAAGAACTAAAAATATAACTGTTCAATTCCCTTAATACCTGTCATTCTTATTTTGTGCCAATTAAGAGCTTACATATTCCTACCTAACAACTAGAAACAGAGAGACAGTATGAGAGGAGGGAAGATTGTTTTAGGGTATTAAAGAGAATGTAATTAAATATTTGTTCAGGAGTAATTGTGCATAAATTGCATGAGAATTATGTTTCATATCATGAGTATATCTAAATTAGTGTCTTTTCATGATCAATGTTTAACTCACAATTGTTTCGCTTTACTTTAAATTAAGTACATCTTTGTAAACCATTTACTTAAATCCATTGCCCATTACTTTTTCTCTTGGTACTAGAACTGATGTTTTTGATGTTATTAAATGTCTGCAGGTGCCCACTACAATTTCCCAGTCATAACATCTCAACTCATTCTTCATAATAAGTGAAATTAGTTTTAGTATTTCTTGCCTTAGTTTTTAAAATATTTTTTTATATTTGCATTTAAAAATATGTGGGTGAAGTAGACTTGTGCACTTAGCTGAGAGCAGCAGTCTTCTCTAACTTTTGGAGATGAAAGGTTAATTACATTAGGGGAAAGGCAATACAGTATTAAATAATAGAACAGGAAGATGTGAATTAAGCCAGAGCATATTTTGATCTGTATGATGGAGCACAGTTATAACAGCTGCATCAGAACTACATTGGCTGCTAGAGATCATCTGAAATATTGCTGAATTATTCAGGAATAGGCAATTTTATGGATAATAAAAACACTAATAGAGTTTTGCATAAGCCTATTGCTTCCAAGGAGGATTACTGACTCATTATCTTCAGAAACAAAGAGTTTCAAAATCTGTTTCTAAAAAACAGATATCCACCTGTAACTAAAGCTGCAATTCAAGATAGAAAAGCCTATGTATTGGTCAGAGATGGTGATAAATGGCCACTGAAATATCAGTAGGATGACACGTAATTAAAAAAAACCACAAACAACAAACCTAACCAAAAGCCAAAAAAACCTTGCAGGTCAGTGCACTCAGCATGAGATGTCACATATGTTTCTCTTTCCACATGCAACTTTCCATATGTTAACACATACATGTCCTTACATTCAATAAGTCACATCACCATTTCTATTTTTCATCATTTTAGTATGGAAAATTTGTAATCTTGGTTCTTTACTGAAAAAATGGGATGACAGACAACTGTTAGCAGTTCTCTAAGAATAAGTGTATTGACAGTTCTTAATGTGCAGTTTTGCAAGTAATTCTGAGAGTATAAGAACAGCTCTTCTGGAACAGACCACTGGAGCATCTAGCTTAAAACTCTCTAAGAAAGAAAAGGAGCCTGAGCTTTTAATTTAGTCCATTGTCTTTGCATTTCCCAGTATCAACATTTCTTTTACGAAGAATAATAGAAATTGTAGCCCTGTTAATTCCCTCTAGTAGCTTGTTTATGATTTTGGCATTCATGAGTGTGTTTAGTTCCTTATTCAGCATTTTGATCTATCTGCCTCTTGAACATTCTGTGCCAAATCTGTTGCAGTAATTTCAGTTATCATTAGAGCTATGTACTGGTTTTGCATTAATTGATATTTGGTGAGGAGGGAAGAAGCCACACACGGAAATTATTCTTTTGAGAGAAGCTGCTAAGATCTTCCTCCGTGCCTAGCAAAAACTAATAGCTGGCTAGCTCTGAAAATTCATTACACCATTAAGAAGCTAGATCCGCCTCTGTGAGATTCACATTTTTAAAGATGGGCAAACCCGGGAAATCTCTCTCTTGCTTCCGGCCTTGAAGGCATAACTGGGCACCGGTGGGTGCCCACCGCAGCCTGGCGGGGCCGGGCCCCACTGGCGGCTGGGTGGGGGACGGGAGGCCGTGGGGCCCTGGCCAAGGCTGGGCCAAGCCGTGGCTCTCGCTGTCCCTAAGCCCTGCCCTGCTGCCGGCCCGCGCTGCGCTGGGGTCCGCCGGGCCGCAGGAG